AAATCAACATTTTTCGTCTTATTGTTCTTCATTTTTCTTACCATCAGAGACTTAAAAAGTGTCCCCCCTTGAGCTGCATGGAATATCGCTAAAAGGAGCCGTATTTTCTTTACACAATAACAACTTTCCCCATTTATTAAATTTTTCTCCCAATTTATCAGTGGCGTTCACTGGATTCCATTGACTCTAAATATGACTAGTTCTCCATTTTCTTTCTACCTGAATACATCTGCAAAGGGCACAGTAACTCAGAAAGACGAAGTTTTAGGAAAGGCTAAAAATACAGGCCTATCTGTATTCCGCGACAATTACAGACTGGAAAACAGATCTACCCACACAAAGATTAATAACAAAAATCATGCAAAATAATTATAAAATCCAGACAGCATAATTGATGTAACACATTTTATAACAAAAACTGGAAAATGCACAGCGTGTTTTGCCAAAAAAAACTCAAAAGATTTGAACCTCTTGAAACATGTTTTGCAAGAACAAATTAATGTATTACTATTACTGTAACAAACAAACCCCCCCCCAAAAAAAAAACCCAACCCAACATGAAATAGATTAACCACAGAATCACATCATAAATATAATCTGAAAAAAAAAAGACCTGCACATTATATTAATTAATAATGGTGGTCAACGTGAACAGTCCGATTAGCTGCATAATGTACTTATTAATGAGAAAAATCAGTCTTATCGTTGGTTTATTTGTTTGAGTAAAGAGAAGCACATATCGACACAGTAAAGCTCATTTAGTGCTGGGAAAATGTAAAACAGACAGAAAAAAATAATCGAAGGCAAGGAAAGAAGTAAGACCACCAACCAGTGGCACCCTCCAACCACCCGGAAAAAATCTGCATGTCATTTAATCAATAATATATACTGCTATATTAGTAAACAATTTAGTATAATCACGATTTGAATATTGTAACTCTTTAATCATTATCAGGAATATCTCTGGAGAAAGTGGAAAGACTACAAATTGGTTAAAACAAGGCTGTATGTTTAGTTTTGCAAAAAAGAAAGCGAAACTTTGCTACACTCTTCTACGAACACTGCATTGGCTTCTGTGAAGAAAAGAATTGTATACAAGTTCGCCACTCAGTGTTACAAAATTTTGAAAAATGCTAAAATGATAATGCACCATCACATTTATCAGTTAAAGTAGTGGGTGAAAGGGCATTTGCAACTCATGGCCCCCAAATCTGGAAAGCACTGCCTGGTAATTTAAGATAAATCAAATCATTTAATTCACTCAAAAGTCAGCTAGAGTCATTCTTGATTAAAGAGATACATGTAAATATTTGGGCAGAACATAAATAATGTACTCTTTACATGTTGCTACTTGTATTTGTAAAGTGTTCAGAGCCTGTGTACTTTAATCAGGGTTGATCCCTGTATAAATGCCACATATTATTATCATTATTAATATTATTATTATTATTATTATATTATATATTATTATTATTAATATATTATTATTATAATTCTGAGGGTGCCGACCATGGTGACATTTTCTTAGAAAAAAACTGCACTTTCAGGCCTCCGAATTCAAACAAAGGTGGCATTTATTATTCCTAAGAACACAAGAGGAGCTGGTTTTTTCGTATTAAACGTAAGAATTTATAAAATTTTAGGTCCCGATCACTATATGTATTGTTATAAAGTACCCAAGAATTGACCTATTGGTGCTTTTCTATTTCACTCCTTCAAAATGTGAATATCCGTGGTTCAAAGCTGTACGGACAAAAGGAAATGGAAACCTCTAAAAAAAAAAGCGTACCTTACTTTTTGCTGACATTAACATCATCAGCTCTTCTCACCCCATACCGCAGTATAAGCCACCAACAATTAGAACTCTCCTTGTGCCTTGTAGCCTAGGCCCTACTTTTGTCCTGGGCTATAGCCCCCACTTCTGTAAAGCTGTCCCCATCTCCTTTAGGTCAAAATATAATATATAAGTTCCCTCTACTAGTACTTTTATGCCTTCCTTCCTTCGGTCCTTTGTTGTTTTTTTTCTTTGTGGATTCCATCTTAAGACTTGGTGGGTAATATGTGTTTTCAGTCTTCTCAGTGTGAGTTCAACATTTCTTAGTTGTGTGAAAGCACCTCTTGCCTTGCTTATTCTTGTCTTTACATCTGCATATGTGCCTCTAACCTTGTCTACAATGCTACCTAAGTAAGTTAAGGAATAAACTTCAACTTCCTCTACTGGTGTTTCCCCAAAGGTAATCTGATCGTTAATGGTGGGTGTTGATTCTTCGTATCTTGGTCTTGTCTGGATATTCATATATATATTTTTA